TGTACTACCAAAACAGATCTGCAATTCAGGGTCAAGGCCGATTCCCCAAAAATTCGCAAAGTGCAAAAAAATATCGACGACTTTTCACGATTCTTCTATTTTTTTGCTACTTCTGTTCCTTTTACTCAAGTCTCCTAAGAGACTGAGTGTTTCCTGTAGTCCTCTTCTTCTTTTTTTAGAGCTCTGAGGTTCATTTCTTAGTAGCTTTTTGTATTTTTTTGTAGTTTTTATTAATTTTGTGTTTCAGAAAATTTGTGTTTTGATGATCAGCAGAAAGAGTTATTGTTTGTTGCCAAATTAATTGAATTGCATTATTACAATAATTTATATCATTATATAATAATTTATAGCATTATTTTCTAGCATTATTATTATTATTTTTTTTATAATTAAGATTAGTCTCTTTGGCTTATTGCTTTTATTAGATTGTAGAATTATATAATGCCCTTATTATAGGGACACCAAACAAATACATTTTGATGAGAGTACATTTAATTACATGTACAACTCTATTACTAGCTATAGTTATCTACTATATGCTGTATCTGAGATTTGCTTGTGAATCTTCTGAGTTTTCTATGTCAATCTATTTAACCTTCTCTAGAACATGCAATATATTAGTTAGTTCAAATTTCAAGATTGTTGTAAACTACCTATAAGACTATTAGCTTGGTTAACTGATTTATCCTTGAAGTTATCACCTGCTAGAGCAGTCTAGTACCTACTATTACTATATTATCTAATCTATTTCAATAATTTATATCAAGTCCAAGGACAAGCCAAAGCCACTACCATTATCTACTCAGTCCTTGTAGAGTTTACCCAAACCCTGGTACCTTCTCTTTAAGACAACTCAGTATTTTTTCTTTCAGTATCTCCTAGTTGGTTTTCTCAGACTACCAATCCAGATAGCCTGAAAAAAACACAAGTCTCATAGTATTTGCTAATTCTTTTTCTCTAGTCAATGTTCATACCGATGGTTTGGTTGATAGAGCAACTTGTCAGGTGCTCTTGCTATGTCCAGTTAACTAGCCTCAGGTGAAGCCTATTTCAGTAGCTATCATTGAAAGTCTGTATTATCTTTCTACTCAGGTCTAATCGAGGTTGAAAAAGACGAACAAAGAGCAATCAAAAAATCTGCAGAAATGGCAATGAATATAGAATATTTACTGTTGTATCTTGCTATTCTTCGGGAATCGGAGTTAAAAAGGACGAGAAAAAGGCCTTCGAATATTACAAGAAATCAGCAGAGCTGATGGTATGTTCAATGTTGGTCGATGCTATTATGGAGGAATTGGAGTCGAAAAGGATGAAAAAAAGTCATTCAAATATTATAAAACGTCTGCAGAGACAGGTAATATAAGAGCAATATTATTTTCGAGATGGTATTGGAACACCAATAAATATAAAGAAAGCTGATTATTGGTTTCAGAAAGAAAAAAGTAAATTTCATACAATCGTTAAATCAGAATATAAATATCTTGATATTGAATGATAAAAAACATTATTAATAAGTAATGATGAGTACCAATAATTGAGTTTAAAATATTAGAGAAATTGGATGGACAAGATACGTACATCAAAAAAGATCGTATTTTTGGTAGCGAACCCATTACTGTGGTACTTAAGGACTTTCATAAAACAATTGTTTGAACGAGGCATTTCAGTAATTTGGTATATTTTATATATTTATTTAATATTTTTTTTATAGTTAAAAACGTGTTGTGAAATTGGAGTTAAAAATTCCTCCGCAATAAAATAGAAACAAAAACTACATCTCATTAAAATATACAGAAATTGGGTGAACTAAGCTTATTACTTAGTATAACTTACGATCTTAAAGAAATCCATACACAAGGAATCATTCAACGAGATTTGCATATTGCAAGATATTTTGTATAGGCATATATCGCGGATCTAAGTTTTTCGATCTAGTGATTTGAATTAATTGGGCCATAATTGACTAACCGACCAGAGCCAAACAAAATTCGGTAAATTCTTAATCAGTTGACCCAGTTCAATCGGCTGTAATCGGTTACCATCGGTTACCCGATTAGAAAGATTCAAGAGAAAATTTTGAGTGAGTTCCGAGATTTTCCTAAGGTAAAATAAGGTTGCCATTCTTAGGTTACCCGGTTGACGTTGAATAATTCGGTTTGGTTAACCGATTAAAGATTTTTTTTCTCGGGTCAAATCACTATTTCGATCCAGTATATGAAACAAGATGGACAAGTTTTTGGTTTTACCTTTTGTTGCTTCAGAAGTTTTATAAAAAGAAATACACTACCGTATCCGATATTGGTATAATCACGTGGGAGATATTGTATGGTGTCATTATTTTAACCAAGATCAAGCTTTAGATTTACTAACGAATCACGACCACCAGTTAATAAAATTGATTCAAACTGTTATGTTGATTTGATGAAACAATGTTGAGAACAAGGTCCGGGAATTTGTCCTACAGCTGATGAATTATGTGAAATCTTTAAATCGTGGCGAAATGAACAAATTGTTTCAGAGTTAAACGAATTTAAACCAACTATTGATTTTTAATAATGATGAAATTCCAAGGTAAACAGATCTATTAGAAATAGGGTACTTAGTTTTGTTGATATAGAATCGGGTCTTAAACCTTCTCAATTCAGAATCTTAAATGCAAATTTTTTTAATTTTCTTTTTGTAAACGTTAGTTTAGATTAGGTATTTCAAATTAAGTTATAATTTTAAAAATTAAGTACATATGAGTTAAGATTTCTACGATCTTTAATTTTTGTATAAGTTTAAAAATATATAAGCTTTATTTAATAAAGATATAAAACATAAGTGATATCTAAACCGTTGTGATTGCATTTCAAAAACATCAAACATTTGAAGAATTCGGAGCTCATGTGTGTCCTCTTGGGCTCCATCAGGTTACCACCATCCGAGAATAATTACCTATATATTTTGACACTAAAATAGTTTATTAAGTCACAACATTAGGTTATATACAGTATTTATAAATAAACGTTGTATTATATTATGGTGAAGAAAATGTTGGAAATAAATTTAAGAACTGTAGATGATTTATCACTAACTAATTGATCGAGAATAACTTTTCAGAGGGTGTTGATGTAGCTGAAACCAAGAGATACGTATAAGCTACCTGCTCAAGACAGGGAGCTTTTGATTTTTTATATTCCACTATGGGAAAAGTCAGAATCAAAGAGATTTGCGGAACCGCAAGGTACTCTTCTAGTTCGCTCTGTAAATTAAGAGGTGGTGGATTGTTAAAGATGTTTAAAAGCATTGATTTGTAAAGAGAAACAGTAGTGTTATGAAAATAGGGAAGGGATGATAAAATATTAGCAGTAGGCGTTGAGGTTGTTGAATTATCTTTTGCATTTTTATATTTAGTTCTTAAAAGATCTTAAATCTGTTTAATCTTGTCAGGTGCAAAATCAAACTTTTTAATACGAGGAAGACAAATAGGATTCGATATTATCTTTTTTTCAGTAAAAACACATGGCACGATACAAAGTTTTTTTAGCCTTTCCAAAACTCTAGATATTTGCATAGGCTTGTCTAAATCTATCTTTTTATACATATCACTATCATCACAAATTTCGAGTTCTGTAAAAACATCTTCTATACTTTCAACATTTATTTCCTCTGGTAATAATTGATACTGGTTTGAGCATGTAAATGATGTGTATCATTATAGAATTCATTGTGCTATATGTAACGTATTTGCTACCAAGTCACCTTCTCAAAAGGACCCCAAATCAGAATCAAATTACGAAGTAAATCTCACTCACACTATCTTTGTTAGAAGATGGCACCACGCCAGATAACTGGAGCTTCAACGAGTTGGCACGTCTGCAATCACATGTCTCAAATATGTCGAAGTCTTCTTAGCATTACTATATAATTAGTAATTTAAATCAGACATAAAAAAAAATCAAAATAGACATACGATAGATACGATAGATTGTTTCTTAAAAAATACAAAATAAAAATTTAATATTAATAATTTCAAATATGAATAAATAAAGTAAATACGTATAAACAACTTTAAACCTTATTAGATCTTGCATATCGTTTCTATATATTCTCCAGGCACTAAAAAGAAATCAATCATTATAGAACGTAGTGATTAATTGTTCATGATCTGCACTAATGTCTATAACATTGGATCATGTTCAAATTTGTGAAATCTCACATCTTGAAATTTGTTAGTTCTTGTTAACATTTTTCTTAAGGAATGGTCAATTGTTCTTGCCGCACTTTTAATGTTTTTAGCATTTGGCGTGGTCAGCCAGAATCTGAACAGGTTCCAATCATTCCCCGATTACTATCTGAAGAGTATGTGCTGCACACTAATGTCTACAACTTCGGATCATGTTTAAATTTGTGAAATCTCACGTCTTGAAATTTGTTGTTAGTTTTTGTTACCATTTTTCTTAGAAAATAGTCTATTGTCCTTGCCACACTTTTAATGTTTTTAGCATTTGGCATGACCAGCCAGAATCTTAACAGGTTCCAATTACTAGCTGAAGGGTATGTGCTGCACATGGTTGCTATAATATATTTTCTATTGTTTGTTTTAAATCCCTAATAGCCTTTTGCATGTTCTTTGTCACTGTGAAAATCTTATCACGTAATTCTAATTCGTCCAAGAAAGAAATATTATCACCGATATTTTCAGCAGTATGAGGATGGCGGATGTGCTCAATAGAAAGTGATCTCATGAAATCGAAAGTTATGATCAAGATACGAACATGTTATACCTAAAAACTGGCCATAAATCACACGTTAATGATAAAGAAATTGAATCATTTTTTATTTTTTCCATGATTAATTTGAACGAGTGATTATATGCAATATATGTACCAATTTCTTTATAGAATTATTGTATGGAATTTATCCAGTACGCAAGGTTTTGGAAATTTGACAGGGCGATTTTCCGGTCATGTGATTTTTGAGGTCAATAGTCTTCGAGCAAGAAGTTAGGGTTTGTGCGCAATTTAGGGTTAGAAAGAAGCGCCTAGTAGTAAAATTACACGAGGAATTTTTTTTTATTAAAACTCCAAAGGCGGTTACTAATAAAAGTTTTGAGATAAACGTGATTTTTGCAAAGTAAACATACACCAGATCCTAATTTTTAATTGGCCAATTGTTTCAGAAATCACATGAATAGAAAATCGATCCTACGCCCTGAGTATTGAATCTGACGTGGCTCATCATGGGGTATAATAATTAACTCTATATATCATTTATATTTTTACCTTGGTCTTCAGTTACGCCATGAACGTTTGAGAGATGAGAAGAGCAGTTACTCATTGACGTGTTAACCTTGTATCTTGTGTCGCGTTTTTTTCCTTTTACTGTCTCGACCTTACAAACCGCAAATCTTATATTATCAATATACACTGGATCAAAGTACCAATAGTACAACCAAATCCAACTTCTGATATTACTACCACCACGGGTATCATTGACTTTTGTTTTTTTTATTAAAAGGCTTATCAGATGCTTCAACATCATTCTTATTACTAACAGGCATTTTTCAATAAAATTAAATGAATGAAACGCTGACCCAGGTCTTTTTATTTCTTTGATTCGTTGTTTGCTAAATCAAGTAAAACCAATAAGAAAAAAAAAATAAAGATATTTAATTACGTTATCACTACCCCAAATTAACAAACGATATCATCAATCAGCATAGTTAAAAAGATTCAATAGTTTGAATAATTGACTAACAATCCGCATAGTTAAACAGATTCAATAATTTGAATAATTGACTATCAATCCGCGCTTAGTTAAACAGATTCAATAGCTTGAATAATTGACATTCAATAGTTTGAATAATTGACTAACAATCTGCATAGTTAAACAGATTCAAAAGTTTGAATAATTGACTAACAATCCGCATAGTTTGCATAGTTAACTATAATCCGTATAGTTCGAACATTTAAAGTTAAACGTATAATTTGAACAGTTGATCGCAACAGATTACACAAAAATACTTATTTTGAACAATTATACAGATTGCCGATCAACGGATCACACCTCAGTATTATCCTATTTAATCTTAAAATAAAAGTTTCGCTTTAAAATAAGTACATGAAAGTTATGTTACAAAGATGGCAGGGGATAAATCAGTTATATCCTGTGTAGTTGGATATAAGCGAAATTTTGTAGTAGTTTAATCGGCCGCATACACGGCCTATTATACTCACCGCAAAATTCCATTTATACTCAACGCCCAGGACATAACTATTGTATTTTTAGTGATATCCTTAGAACTATTTTAAACGTTAAAACTATTCTCAATTTTAAATTTTAATTTAAAAAAGCACAAAAATAAATAAATGATTTCATTTATAAAAGTTTAAGAACGTGCAGCCATTGGATCTGGATAAGAATCCAAAGTACGAAAAATAGACCACCCAAGAGGTAATGCAAGGGCTAATAATGCGAAATATATCCACATGCAAATTAAATTTGCTAGACGAATAGTACATGCAGTAAAAACTATGTCAGATTGATATTGATAATCTTGTGGGCAAAATTGTGGGATGTCTTTCATTTCATTAAAGGTGGAAATTGTGTAGATAACTTAAAAAAAATATTATGATTATATGATTAAAAAATAAGTATCAAAAAAATAGGTTAAAAACATTTACTTACATGGAAAACTTAGCCAAATAATTGACGCAACCCTTAAAATAGCGTTGAATAAATTCAGATTATAATTTGTTTTAAAATAAATAAATAAATAAATAAATAATGAACACTTACAAGAAGTACCAAGTGAAATCTTCAAGTGCAAGCCAACAACTGCAAAACAGATAAAATGATACTAGATTTCAATAGTTTCAAGAAATTCAAAATCTAAGTTATAAACTACATAATAGTTTTTATGAATCACATATACTGTATATACACTGGAAGTCAAAAGTTATGCATTGCTTATTCTTTGAAAATTTATATCTCAGTAATTACAAATGCTAAACAATGATTTTATATTTATTTTAACCTCCAAAACCCAGAAAATTTTTAAAAATACAATACTAATTTCTGTAAAGTGCTAATTTACGTTCAACTGATATGATATTATCTCTAAACAAAGTAAAAAAAGCAGCTACCATCAAATTTTGATTCTCCTTTATAAGACGAATTCAACAAGCTAAAAACCATTAAAATCGAATCGGTAGTTGCTGAGAAATCGATTGTTAAAAGTCAACGTATAATTTTCATGTGTAATATTAACTTTCAGTAATCGATTTCTCAACAACCACCAACCGATTTTAATGGATTTTGGCTTTTTGAATTCGTCTTATAGAGGAGAATCAAAATCTGGCGTCAATATGACTGTAGCTGCGTTGGTTAAGGGACAATGTTCTATTAGTAAAGTAAAGATGAACATTAATTAGCATGTTATAGAAAATGAGTACCAATCGGACAACAAAAATTTTTCTGCGTTTTGAGAGAGATATATTTTTTTTGATTAAGCGATACAAGACTTTTGATAACCACTGTAGCGTTTGATCAATACAAATACCAATTATTGACACTGTTAATGCCAGATATCTATAAAATATATTAGTAAAAAATCTAACTTTATTTTTTAAAAGAGGATTTTTTAATATTATAAATATGGTACTTACGCGTATTCAATCCATACATTATAAAAAAGTTCACCGTTAGTTTTATCGAAAATGGAAAGCTTTGTTATTTCTAGACATATATGTGAGATAAGAAATTATTATTATAATACTAAAGTATATTTCATTTTCTTGTGCACGCAAAAAATATTTACGAATTTCAACAACTTACCAAGAGCAGGACAAAGAAATGTTAGAATGAAAATTGGAATAATTAATATATAAACGCAAACAACTTTATATGTTTCTATATTATTCATCGTGAATGATTTTTTTTATTGCTCATTAATTTTGTTTATAAATAATAAAAGTATGATTTTTTCTTTGTAAACGACTAACAGTTATTTACTATAGTATTTTATTTAACAAATCTTTAAAAACTTCATATTTAGAACGATATCCATGGGATCACATAGCGATAATTATATATTTTTTATACCGTTTTCTGTCTCCATACATTTTCAGTTGCAATGGCCTGCCACAAATAATAATACGCCATACACTTTATCACCTGTCGGTTCTGTTTATTAAATGTTTATTCGAAGTTTTCTTTTAAACATGTTTTTAGAGATAATTTTAAAAGTGATAATATATTTCATATACAGTATTTATATATGATTATTTATATGGATTCTATTTCTAAACTGTCATTTTAAACTATCAATATGCGGCTTTGAACTAGAAACCTTCGGTTTTTATAGTGTACATTATTTGTTTGCGGTACCTGGACATATAACCAAAAAAAAAAAAAAAACTAACTTCTCTATATACCTGGAGTTAGTCATTCCGAATATTATCTAAAACCAGACATCTTTAAATAAAATCTCCCCAATCCAATCCCATCCCGTTTTTAAATATAAAAGTGGGCGTCACCTAGAGGTAGTGCAATACTAGAGACACCCGTGGTAAGGAGTGTAGCAAGCCATTGACCCCATAACCGAACGATAAAAATTAGTTTAATATCGAAGACCCACCGTGTGGATCATTTCAGATATTAAGCTGAAAAGAACAGATACTACACTTGATCTTAGCCAAAAGGCTTGAGAGGATGAGGAATAGCGAAAGTAAATTTATGACCTATTTATTTATTTGACAAAGGAAATATGAATTATGGGATTGTTTAGTATTTCTATTATTTTTTCTTATGTAAGTTATTACGTTTTGCAATAAAACGGTTTAAAAGCTTTCAATCTCAGTCATTATTACATATTGATATTTCATAAGAATTTATTTTCACATGGGTTTAAGTCACCCGCTACAGTTGCGCGCATATGCCGTGATCTATCGAAAAGCATTTAAATTATTAAATGTGACAGTTAAGTACGTACACGTTTGATTACATACAGTTACGAGATAAAAAAAAAAAAAAATTATGCATATTCTTTAATAATAATTAGAAAATTTATTAGTTTACACAGAGTGTTTATACACGGGAATAATTTATTGTGTAACATACTAATAATCAAAACAATTTTTACAAACGAAAAATTAAGCCCTTACCGATGGTTAGGGTAAGGGTGGCTTGGGATTGGGCAAGGTATAGTTTATACCAAAATTTCGCAAGGAATTTTTTTATTAGAAGCCAAAAGGTGGTTTCATAATCAAAATTTTGAGATAAATATATTGCCCGTGTATATATACACCGTGTACTGTATAAGCCTAATAATTATTAATAATTGAAAATTAATTATATAGTTACAAAAAAAAAACGTACATCAAATAACTCGCGATAATACCAAATCGGTTTTGATAATCGTTCCGAGATAAAAAAAAAAAAGAAAAAAAAAAGCATATTAATTAACATTTCTTTAACGATAATTGAATAAAAATTTGAAAAATGAATTATATAATTACAAAGAGAAAACTAATAAAAATCGCGATCTATCAAATCGTCATTAAAACCTAATAACTTGCTCTACAACATTCATCAGAAATCCAATGAGAGTTTATTTAGCATAAAAAGACGTTTCATTGTAAGCTAGCTGCATTCCAAAACTATATTAACTTCCGACAATTTCTACTATTAAATTTACTATTTTTTTATGCCCCTTTAACCGCGATTTACCTATTAAAATATTTTC